TAGTTCATCTAGAGAATGATTTGCAACCTCCAATAATCTCATATCATCAAGGTACTTGAACCCATCTCCAGTAACATCCCATATCTTATTATCACATGTCATATAAAGTGAGATTTTTCTTGATAGAATACGATGATTATATTCCTTCTAAATCATAATGGATATTCTCTATTTGAACTACTATCCTTCAACATAGAAATTATAATTGATATGAAGTGAAATCAAAATATCTCAATAATAAGACAACATGAATACAACAATATATTGGTCTTTCGTGGTCCAATGGGGCTCTCCCCTAGTGGGGTTTGACCTGCCAGGGTAAGAGTAGTTTTGAAGTTTTTCTTAGTTTTAAAGTTCGTAAGTTATTTGTATGGAAAGATATCGAGCGGTACCGAGCATGTACCTAGCGGTACCGAGCATGTACTGAGCGGTACCGAGCATGTACCTAACAATACCGAGCTTGTACCTAGCAGTGCCAAGCACGTACGGAGCGGTACCGAGCATGTACATTAGCTATTTTGGTAAGTTTCAAGAAAAAAAATTAATATTTCAGGCCTCAATGTCATTTATCAGTCACCGAGAGAGGAGATGAAAATACCTTCACTGCCAAAAAGAATTTAAAATGAGAATATTCGATGATTGGTTATTAAGTGACGTTGATTTGATGTTGTGGATAGAAAATAAGAAATTTATTTTAAATCCTGCAAAATATAAGCAATTATATTTTGAAAAAATTCATAAAATATTAAAGATACGCGTGTCCGACACGCGTGTCCAATTTGCATTTAATATTTTTTAATCGGACATATTTTCTGTGTGTCCGACACGTGTCGGAGGAGTGTCGGACTAGTGTCGTGTCGGACACGGTGTCTCACACTGCACGCCTCTTTAAGAAGTGTCGGTGCATCATAGAATATTATTCTATTTGAGGAAGGTAAATGTAGGAAAGGAGCTACGATGCCTTCCAACACTACCACGCTCGGACCAAAAAATTAAAGTTGGAATCAAATATGCAATCTTTATTCAAGATATAAATATGTGGAATAGAATAAGTATTCATGGCAAATATTAAAGTGTTTTAATTTTTCTTCTCATTTGTGCCTAATTAAATTGGCCAACTAGCCTTATCCATACATAAAATAGGGTGCGAAATTAAAGCTGCAAAAAATATATTTATCATCTAAAATTTTATATGCATTTTTAAATTAAAATTTTCTTTTATTGCATGTGGTTTATTTAGAGATTAAATTTGTGTCAAAATTTAGCATTGTTTTAAGAGGTCTCGAAACAATTATTTTTAAATATATAAATGAGTGGAAGATGAGAAAACATATATTGTATGTGTTATTGTAGACAAAGGTATTTATTTACAATAGTTATTTTATTTTGTTTTACAAAATGAATTTGTTGTCTTAATAGCTCTTTCATTAGGTTGGAAATAGTTTGTTTTTAATAGTATTATAAGATAATAAAATTTATGATTAATTTAGTTCTTATGATAAAAATATGAATCATGTAGTACATGCAATTTTTTTATTTTAGTAATATGCAAACCACTCATTGATTCTGATTAAAAGAGATCCCACTGCATATCTTATTTCCTCTATGAGAAATAATCATTTTGTGATTGAAGGAAGGAATAATGAAATAAAAAAAGGTAAGTACTTCATCATCACCAATTAATTGATAGGCAAAATTTAAAAGTATAGTAATGCATGAATGGTGCATATATGTCTATTGCCTTTGTTAGAAAGTAATAAACTAGAATGGAAAAGAATTATCAATTTTCTTTTCCACCTTTCTTCTTCCTCCCTCCTTGCCATTGGTGTCTAGACAAAGCATCTTCTCTACTAGACTCTCTTAGTCTTAGGGACTAAGATGGCGGAGGCATTCATGATTGGTTTGTTGGAAGCTTTACAGCAATCCTACGGAGATCAAGAACATAAATAGAACCATTATCACTTAAAAAATATATACAAAAAATAGTCATATTCTCATACACGAATTTATTGTATAAAAGATAAATATAATTAATCCTATAGTTCCTTATGATTTCAAAATTAAAAGATTTGGATCAAATTCTTCATTAATCAAATATTAAAAATATTTGCAAAATCATGACTCTAAGAGCCTTTGAAATTATCTTAAATGCTTTTTGTTCCTAATATGAAAAGTTTCAACAATATGTGATCCATTTTATATGTTTAAATTACGCATTTGTTTGAGGGATTATTTAAAATGCATGCTAAAATAACATGGCCTTAGGCTTACTGCTTTATTATTTCCTCCATCAGAAAGATTGCCAAAAAATTAGACTCTTAACCACACCTTTCGTCAACCGTATATGGGATCGTTCGATCTCATGTTGATGATTCTCCTTAGCAACACAAACTGTAGTATTAAAAATGAACTTTTAATTCAAAAATATTCATATTATATGCTTAGCAAAGATTAAGATATATAATTTATGGGAGTAATGGTTAAACAAAATTGAAAGGGGCCAATTAGGATGTGAATTTGAGTCAACAAAATATTGAAAATTTTCACTGTGAAAATCAAAAAGCCCTGCATCCCGATCATTGTACTCTGGCAACATGTCACTTAAATGATTGGCAAAGTGTATACAATTTGGTCTAATTATAAGAGCAAATGTGTGATGCAAGGAAAAAGTTTGATTACATCCCACAATTAAGAAGCAACCCCGCAGATCCTTAGCAGGGGTCCAATAACATGAAAAAAAAGAAGCGACAACTGTCGGCACAAACTTGGAAACAAAAATACCCACTGTCTTTGCTTTCCAACTATTATTTATCTTCCTTTTAGTAGTCTCAATCACCCTCTCTATTTTTAGAAGTGCTCCCAACAAAAAAAATAAAATAATATAGTACGTGTAATCTGAGTTTTTGGTGCGCAAGTAAAGGTCGTGAGTTACTGGGCAAATCAATTCAATATTTTTCCCATTAAGATCAAAAGCCATGACCATCAAAAAATGTGTGATTGTGTAAAATCTTTTATCTTATTGGTGATAGTAAACATCATCAAATTGCTCAACATGCGTCATGGTGTAAAGAGGCAACTGAGGGTCGAGAACCCATGTTTTATCTGCCAGCCTTGCCAAAGCAAGAGATTTTGTACGTCCATAGATAGCAATAGCAGTTCCTAATAAGTCATTAGAAGTGAAAATGATCTTTCGAAACTATATATCACATAAGCCTTCATCATCTGTGATAAATTATGAGTAAATTTCATTAAAAATAAAAAATGATAGAGTCTCCAAGGCCATATTAAGGGTTTATCATATGTCCTTGGTCTTTGGGAACGATGAAAAGAGATGAGAGCGATACTTCAACCTTTGTGAGAAGGTTAAAAAGGCGAAGATGCAGATCTTCTTTGCCAGGGTTACGAGTTATCCATCCTTGGAGCCAAAGTAGTGACGACCGATGGTGTAACTATCAATGGAGGAAAAGCGATGATTGCAACTGTCACCGACCTCTTCTTCTTTGATTGTGAAGTCGTGGAAGGTGTGTGTGTTAGAGGCCTCTGTAGTAAGGGTGTCAATTTAGGTCAATGGTTGGGTTCAGGTCGATCTCGACTTGACCCGGACATAAATGGGTCAACCCAAACCCGACCCGTTTAGCTAAATGGGTCAGAAAATCGAACCCAAACCCAACCCGACCCGTTGATTTCTTCCCAGTGCAAGCAGGAGTAGCAACAGTTCGGTCACAAGCATTGCGGAACTTGTGGTGCTCGCACCTTTTAGAAAATAATGGATCATAGCCTATAAATGATATAGATTCCAATAGTTGACTGCCAATCTCTCGAAGAAGATCAATTGGAAGGGTTATAAACTTGGGTCAAGCTTCTCAAACACCTGTTAAAAGTCATTTAAATTGGTGGGCATATTTTATCCCCCAAAGATATTCTTTCGGATTGGGGAATTGTTATAAACAATTTAAACTCACAATACATATATTCCTCATCAATGTCTAATAGCAGGAAATCATCAAAAAAACGTTTTATCCTATTAATGGAGGCTATCCACAATACATATATGTTGTTTGTAAAATCACAAGAAAACCAATATACCACAAAAAGCTAAACATCTAACTAAATTAGCATTCTCATTGTTATTTTTGACTATAATATTATTAAAATTAGAGTCCAGTTAGTCCTAATATTATTTTTTGAAAAATTTTAGACATGTATTTTAAATACATATTTGAGATTAATTTTTGAAAAAAATTCAAGCCATTTTTTAAATTGTAATATAAATATTATTTAAATTTAATATTTTATTTCCTGAACAATTACAAATGATTTATTTTGTAAAGCTTATATCATGATTTTAAATAGTTAATTAAAAATATAAGAGGCTGTCCACACATATTTTTCCCCCAAAATCAAGAGCTCCCAATCACATATTAAAATCTTGATCTTAATCTGAATAGCTACAACATATTCTATTAAAAAAAGTTATATATAAAATTTATATGCGATGGAAGTAAATTCAATAACTTTCAAATTTATATAGATATACTTCGCCTTTTTTGCTAATATTTCAAGAACTTGTGCTGCAATTTCGTCCATCAAAAGATTAAAAAAAAAAAAAAACTAAAAAAAAAAACTAAAAAAAAAAACTAAAAAAAAAAACTAAAAAAAAAAACTAAAAAAAAAAACTAAAAAAAAAAACTAAAAAAAAAAACTAAAAAAAAAAACTAAAAAAAAAAACTAAAAAAAAAAACTAAAAAAAAAAACTAAAAAAAAAAACTAAAAAAAAAAACTAAAAAAAAAAACTAAAAAAAAAAACTAAAAAAAAAAACTAAAAAAAAAAACACAAACAATATATATTTCCGGCTTCTAGGTTCTATGCAACAAATGAAGAGATCACTATTTAAAAAAAAAAACTCCAATTTATATTTTTTGTTTTTTTCAATAAAATAAAATTGAAGCCTACAGAACGGTGAAGGTCATTCTGAGAAACGAAAATTTTGTTTAGAGTATTTGGAGAAAATTTCTTAAACCCATAGGGTCAGAAAGGAGCAAATGGAATTAAGGATTCATTTTATGAAAAACAACTAATAAAATAACAGAATGCTTAGTTCAAGTTCACCGAGGCTCATAAGCATGTTTCTTGAGCGAGTGCCTGCTAAGAATAAAGCATTCATTAAAAAGTTCAGGTAACAGTTCATTTCCCTAAGCTAAGCAGAAGAGGGACATCGAGAGGTCTCACCAGATTCCAAAGAGATTGCAGAGGCGCTTATCAACCGTTGAGAATCACTAATGGAGGTTTGCTGGAGGAGCGAGAGACGAGGATCCCAACTGAAAAAGGACATCATCTATGAGAGAGAAGAAGAACATCGTGGAATCACCATGGGGAAGAAATAAAGTTGCAAATACATATATGAACTACTTCCATGCTCAGAGGTAGAAAGAGGACTGAATTCCATACTTTCATTGCCATCTCGAAGGAAGTCATCAGCGAAGATGCCTACCTTTCATCTTCATCCAAGACGACATCGCAGAAGAAGTCGAAGAGGCTCTGCCAGCGACTCTTTCAAAACTCTTTGGTGCGTGAAGCAGACGAAAAATGAGGGAAGAGGGTTAATAGCTAAGTAGAAGACATCGGAGCTCCATTCATCCTTTGGACCAGGATTTTTTTTAATAGGAGGCCCAACTTATTGAATTTAAAAAAAAATCCTCAATCTTTTTCATCCACAAATGAAGAATAAATTTTTGAAACAATGACACTATATTAATCTAACACTAAAAAATAAATTGATTTTTCTAAAGAAAACATTATAAAATTTAATGGAAACAAATTTTCAAATATTACTAAAAATTACTTAATATAAATCATGAAATAACAATGCAAAAATTATATAAACAAGCATCAACCCGAATCCGATCCATTAAGAAACTGAATGACTCGAAGCTAACCTATTACCCCATTTTGATTAATTTTTTTAATAATTTATGAACTATAAAGTTTATGATATTTAATTAAAAATAAGAAGATTATATTCGAAGTTTTTTTTTTTAACTTGCAATTTGCATTAAAAAGAGGATAACAGATACAAATAACTAAAGATAATAATCACATTCCTTCTTCAATAAATTAAAAAGAGAAGAAGTAATGTCATTATTAGAGTAACTATCAAAATAAAAACTATAATTCAAAGCTAAAGTAGCATAACAATATGCTACTTTATTACAATTTCTAGTAATCAAATGAAATATTACCTTATTGAAGTTATTAAGAAAAAGAATGTTTTCATTCCAATGTTGAGGTTGCTGCCATTTAATCATTTTCAAAGAATCTTGAAGCCATTTGATCACATTGCTATTATATCCTTCAATGATGACTCCCTTATATTGTAGCATCCATCTGTGCAAGTGTTCTCTGATAAGAAATACCGCTTGAAGTTCAAGGGAAGAAATATCCCAATGCTTCACCATTTTGCCGAAAGCAGCAATGAATCTTCCTTTATGGTCTCTTATAACAACTCTAATGCCCACATTATAAGAGTCATTTAATGTAGCATCCACATTGATCTTAATCCAATCTTGGGGTGGGGGACACCAACAATTTACATACTCCATATGGAGATCAGTATCCAAGATACCTAGAATAGGATTAGATTGTGTTTGCATAATAGAGCTTAATGTGTTTGCTACCAAGAACTGAACGGATGACCTATTCAATCCAAGTTTTATTTGGTTCCTTCTTTCCATGAAAAATAAACTATTGTACATTATATTTAAACTATATTCAGATTCACCATAGACAATCTTCTCAATTCCCTTAAACATTTAGAGTAGGAGTCAAAGATGGGAATCTGAAATCCCCATTCTTGTAACTTTTGAACAATATGTTTAAGTTGGTTTCAAAAAATAGAAACAAGTTGTTGATCTTCCACTTCATCACAACCACAAGGACATACATTTGAATGTAATAATTTCCTATAATTCAAAAAGGAATTTTTGGGAAGAGCGTTCTTACATAATCTCCACCAAAATATCTCAACTTTAGGTAGCAATTTGAATTTCCTGATGTTGTTCAACATATCAATCATTCCATTTTCTAAATTACTGCTTTGTCCTTGCTCATCCAGCCAAGCTTCAAAAGATAGTGTTGTAACCGATTTTCCTGAATGTAGATTGATGAGCTCAACACCGTCTTCCTTCAGCTGTGGGTCGATCTTTATAGATTTGATAATATAAATCTTCATTGAAGTAATTCTGCAATTGCGTCTCCATCCAGTAACCCTTTTTAGAAATAAACTTGCTAACATATTCATTTTGAAGGTCATTGCAATTGACAAAAGTTGGCCATTTGTTAAGGTTTATCAAAGATCCATGTATCATCCAAGATACTAACTTTGATACCATTAACCAATCTCCATCTAATGGCATTTCTTAAAAATTTGGCTCCCTCCACCAAAATTTTAAAAGTTGTAGAATATCCACTCCTAACCTTTCTGTGCCACACGTCACTACCATATTTAGAAATAATAATACGATTACACAAAGAGTTAGGATTTTGATTAAATCTCCAAGGGAGCCTATACCTCAAAGGTAGAACTTTAGTAACCGAGGAATGAAGGACTAATCCTCCAAGCGATTTCGGTTTACAAAGTTCTTCCCAAGATACATAATGTAAACCTTTCTTATTTTTATCTTTATGTCATAAGAAATCCCTACACATTCTATCCAAGTCATACATTATTCTTTTAGGAACCAAATAATGTGTAGCCAAAAAGATAGGAAGCAAAAGAAACGAGCTTTTTATAAGTAAAGCTCTGTCATGTAAAGATAAATATCTTCTACCCCATGCATTCAGCCTTTCCAATGCTTGGTCTAATAAAATTCTGAAATCAGAACTTACTAGCCTTCTCAATGCCATTTTGATTCCAAGATAATGCATCTCATTTACTTTCTTGAATCCCAACTTCTTAGAGATTTTCTCCTTTAACCTTCTTTTAACATATTTCCCAAACAAAATTTGAGATTTCATATTATTTACTCCTTAGTCGGTCCACCCACAAAAATTCTTTAAAATATTCTTTAAACAAGAAGCTGATCTCATGGATGCATTAGAAAATATCAAAACGTCATCGACATAAAGAAGATGAGTTATACTTTCATATTTGGGTGAAATTTTAATACCCAAATCATTGCCGCATTGGTAAATGGCATTGGAAAGAAGTTGTGTACAAAGAATATACAAGTAAGGAGACAACAGGCATCCTTGCCTAAACCCGCTTCCAGCTTCTATCCAATTGGTTCTTTTACCATTAATAAAAATAGAATATCTAACTTTTTGGACACATTCCATGATTAGCATAATAATTTTGGCGGGAATCTGAACCTTTTCAAAGAGTTTTCAAGAGTTGGCCAACACATACTATCGTAAGCTTGCTCCATGTCCACCTTAACTGCCATAAGTCCTTTCTTACAATTAGAAAATATAAATTTGTTGAATACCTCTTGAGCCAATAAACAATGATCCGACATAGATCTCCCGGGAACAAAAGCAACTTGATCTTCTGTAATTAATTTAGTCAAGCAAAATTTGATATGATTCATAATCATTCTTGCATATACCTTGTATATTGTCTGACATAAGCTTATTAGTCTAAATTGCGATGGTTCCAATGGATTCTTCACCTTTGGGATTAACACAATTAATGTGTCTTTCCATTGAGAGTGCATTCCTCCATGATTATATTTGAACTTAAGGAGGAGAATTGTAAGAGGGGGTGGTTACATGGTTGTTGTTGAGGGAGCTCGAATACAGTATAATACCTTGCAAGCCTCATGTTGGATGGCCTCCTTAAAGCTACCATACACTATAATACCCTTCAAGCCTTTGTAAGTAAAATAAGTGGGCAATAAAACCACACCCTATGATAATTTTTTTTCTTTTTATTTAAAACAGATTCAAAAAAGGTTGTGTGAGCATTTATTTTGTAGTTTGCATCATATATTTTAAATAATTTTTAATTTTTATATATTTTGCATACCTTCTTTTTATATTGACTCATATATTTATTTGTTACAATTTAGTCTTTTATTTTACTTATTTTATTATTTTAAAAATGAGAGTGTTTTATCCTATGTATCTCCTTTTTCCTCACACACCAGAAATTTTAACCCTTGCCTCACACAACAATTCAAGCATATCAAGGTTTCTCAAAGGAAGAGTATTTTCATGTAAATAGGATTGATGTTCGAAGTGAATTCTTCATAAAACTAAGTTGTCTCCTTCCATTGTTGTTTTCAATCGGGTTAGTTTGTGAATAAATATGAAACAAATCATTTATGAATAAAAAAATGGGTTAGCATGTTAATTGAAAGCCAACCTATTAATCACACTAGTTAGAAAACCTAACTCATTGGTCAATTTAAATTGGAATTTTTTGGATCGCGTCGACATATTGGATCATTTATAGAGAAGAATATATTTTTATGCATATTTAATTTTGAACTTCCTTCCAAGGATGTTGGAAATAAAAGAGTGAGTGAGTGAGAGAGAGAGAGAGAGAGAGAGAGAGAGAGAGAGAGAGAAATCATACTAACTAGTTCCAAAACCTTGTGCATAGAGCAAATGCAAATGCTCTCTTACAAATGATTTCAACAAGTCTATGAAGTTTGGTCGTGGCCGCCTCGAGCAAGTCATTCTCTTATAAACCACCAAATTTGCTTCTATAAAGCCCCACACTTTGGTGGTGGCGTTGGTGATGAAGATGACAAGGTCGACAACAAGGTAAAGGTCTTCTTTCAATTGAGCCTTGCTGAATCCACCATGTCTCCCACTATCAAGTTGGTGGACAAATGAGTAGTTGTCCTTATCAATTCCTTTGAAAGCCATCTCGGTGACCTCTGTGTCTTCTTCAACAAATGCTAATCCAACCTGTCTTCCCACTCTAGTTTCTCTCTCTTCATCTTTAACTAACCATAACTAGACATACAAAACTTATATACATTTTTTTAGGCCAATAGATGCACATGCCCTTAGTGCCCTTATGATGGCTTTGCCATTGACAATATTATGGCATTGTCCTAGTAAATATCTCTCTCTCTCTCTCTCTCTCTCTCTCTCTCTCTCTCTGCATGCACTTCATGCAATTTTGTTATGTTTTTTTTTTTTTACCAAAAACACACACCTAGGTATTAATTGTCATCCCCACTTATTGTTGTTCCTTCCCAACAATGTCAAAGAGGCATGAAACACTCTAATCTTTCATGAGGAAGAAGAAGAAGATAGCATTGGCTATCATTTTTGCTTCTCCTCTCTTTATGGCCACATCTTTGTCTATCATGTCTTTGGATCTAAGGACAAATGGATTGTAACCCTTAACAAAATCCTTGTCAATCCAATCAAAATAGTTGAAAATTTGATCCCATCTCTTTTCACCATCCACGAGTAGAGCTAGAAGATCTTTGTCTCTTCTAATAATTCTTATGGAATTATTGTTGTTAACTATGATCTTATGAAAGTATTAGCTTTAATAAGACTATGAGATTAGATCTGGTTTCTCAGCCCACAATCACCTCTTTACCCCATCAACCATGTCGAGCGGTTTGAAGTTGTTTATTCAAAATGATGAAGAGTGAAGGCTTTAAGTCTTTAAACAT